GTTTCTTTTAAGCTTGGTATTTGGCTGCTGCAGTCTCTAATTTTTAAATATAGCAGAGTCTCTTTTTCTTATATATAAAGTAGCTTCAAAATATAAAATCTAAGAACTTCTTTCATTACTAATATATATAGATAGAATTATAAGCTTCTGAGAATTTTCTTTATATATAAACTGCTTCTCTTTTATACTTAAGAATTACAAAAGTTTTATTAGTTCAGCTAATATTTTTCTAGTTCTCTAAAGTCTAGTTCTTATAAGCAAGATAGAATCTAAGTCTTTTTTTTTCTTACAGATTTAGTTAGATCTGATTTTCAAGTTAATTTAGTAATAATAAAGTTATGTTTTTTAAGAATTTACAAAATACTTGAATAAGATATATCAGCTTTAAATATCAGAGTCTCAGTAAATTTCTCTCTTTCTGAGCAGCTATTAATTATAAAGATAATAATTTCAGCTTTTTTAATACTTATTTTCTTTAGTCAGTCTGATTTAGAAGTATCTTCCACATAACTGAAAGAAATTCAAGAGTTATTCTTAAAATTAAAGCTACAGTCTTTTGCTTACTTTTGAATATTATAGAGAATAGAAGAAGAAATCTAAAAAGTATAAGAAATATTTAAGATAGAAATTTTATAAGAAATTAAAGCAAGAGCTTGAATTCACATAACAAGCTTATTATGAAGAGAGATTTCTCTGGAAGACATGATGAGCAGATTTGATGTTTTGAATTTGAAGAGATTTGGAAAAAAGATAAAAGCCAGACTGTTTGTTGAATAATAGAAGATATCTGCTAATGTAATCTACAAGCAAGCAAAATCTGCAAGCAAGTGAAAGATTTTTTTCAACTTCCTCAACCATTCACTTCAATGTGTCAGAATGCTACCAATTTGCAATAAAAATGCAAGATCCTCTATAGAAATAGAGGGCAGGATTGAACTTGCTATTTCTACTCTTAAAAAGCAAGAAATTAACTCAATTGCTGAAGCTGCACAGCTATTTAATATGTTTTATACTACCTTATATTATCAAGTGAAAGAAAGACATGCATAAATCAGTCTACATACAAATTTGATCAAATTAACTGAGCCTGAAGAGAATCAACTAGTTCAATAGATTCTAGATCTAGCTAAATGAGAAATTCTCCCTTGACTGGTATTTGTTGAGAATATGGCCAATCATTTTCTTATAATGTAAGATTCTATCTCTTCTCCCCCCCTGTGTTGGCCAGAAATGAATGTCAAATCTGATTAAATACTGTACAGAGCTCAAATGCTGCTATTTCAGATGCTATAATTATAAGTAAGCAAAATATGAAAATAGGAAGATTATTCAGAATTGATTTAAGACTCTGGAAGATATAATTACTGAGTATAGAATTCTAATAAAAGATATCTACAACTTTAATAAGACTGAATTTGCAATAAGTCTCTACACAACTATCAAGATTATTATTAGTGCTGAGTGCTATGACTGAGCAAAGCTTCTACAGCCTGGAAATTGAAAATAAGTTACAGTAATTGAATTAGTTAATATCTCAGACTGAGTTTTACCCCCATACATCATTCTTAAAGAGTAAAATCTACAGAAAGACTGGTTTGATAAACTTTCAGCTGGCTGGAGACTTGATGTTAGTTCTAATGGCTAGACCACAGATGAGATAGAAATTAAATAGCTGACTAGATTATTTATTTCTGCTGCAAATTCATGAAGAGTTAACACTTATATACTTCTTATTCTGGATGAGCACAGCAGTTATCTTACCTCAGAATTTAACTATATCTGCAAGAAGAATAAGATTATTTCTCTGTACATGCCATTATATTCATTCTATCTCTTGTAGTCTCTTGATGTAAGTGTTTTTGCAGTTTTGAAGTAAACATATAATAGTCTAGTTAAACAGTGAATGCAGCTTGGAATCAATATTATTAAAAAAGCAGATTTTCTGGATACTTATTCTACAGTATATACAGAGGTCTTCAAGACTCAGAATATTCAAAGTGACTTTATAGCTACTGGAATAGTTTTATTTAATCTAGATCAGGTTCTTCAGCAGCTGGATATTCAACTCTGAACTTCTACTTCTTTAGCTAGCTAATCTAGCAACTTGATGTTATTTTAAATCCTACAAACATCTCATAACCCCTGGCAATTGTATAGGCAGGTGGATAAGATCAAGAATCTTATAAAGCAGGGGCTAAAGAGCTCACCCCAGGATTTAGTAAAAGAATTTGATTAAATTATCAGGGCCTGCAAATATGAAATCATCAACACCATTATTATAAAGAAGCAATATCAGGATATATTTGCTGCAAATAAGAAAGAGAAACAAAAATATACAAGATCTAAGCACTGAATTTAATGTGAAGAAGATCTAACTAGAGAAGAGATTGCTGAGCTTGCCATTCCACCTGCTCAATCTGTTGAACAGTCAGTTGCTCAACTCTCTAAGCCTGCAGTCTCAGAGCCTGCATTATATTCACAGGCACCACTAAGATGTACAAACTACCATATTTTAGGCCATACAAGAAGAAGCTGCCCCAGTCCTATTGCAATGTAATTTAATTTATTTAGGGGTTGTTGAGTGTTAGTATTTTGGGTTAAATTCTAGTTAGTTGAGATGCATTAATTTAATCTTTCACTTGCTTGTGGATTTCACTTGCTTGCAGATTATGTTACCCCACTAAAATTTGGTGGGGTAGCAGGTATCTCCTATTATTCAACAAACAGCCTGGCTTCTATCTTTTTCCAAATCTCTCCAAATTCAAAACATCAAATCTGCCCACCATGTCTTCCAGAGAAATCTCTCTTTATAATAAGCTTGTTACACAAATTCAAGCTCTTGCTTTAATCTCTTATGGAATTTCTATCTTAGATATTTCTCATACTCTTCAGATTTTTTCTTCTACTCTCTATAATATTCAAAAGCAAGCAAAAGACTGTGGCTTTGATCTCAAGAATAATTCTTAAATTTCTCTTAGTTATGTGAAAGATGCTTCTAGATCAGACCAGTTAAAGAAAATAAGTATTAAAGAAGCTGGAATTATTGTCTCTGTAACTAAAAGCTACTTAGAAAGAGAGAAATCTACTAAGATTCTGATATTTGAAGCTGGTATATTTTATTCAAGTATTTTACAAATTCTTAAGAAACATGGCTTTGTTATTGTCAAATCAATTTAAAAATCAGATCTAACTAAATCTGCAAGAAAAAAAAGACTCAGATTCTGTCTTGCCTATAAGAACTAGACTCTAGAGAACTAAAAAAATATTATCTGAACTAATAAAATTTCTGTAGTTCTTGAGTATAGAAGAGAAGCAGTTTGTGTATGAAGAAGATTCTCAGAAGCTTATAATTCTATCTATATATACTAGTAATGAAAGAAGTTCTCAGATTTCATATTTTGAAGCTACTTTATGTATGAGAAGAAGAGACCCTGCCATATTTAAGAATCAGAGACTGTAGCAGCTAAATATCAAGCTTAAAAAAAACTAAATATCTTGAATATTAACTGTAAGATAAAGATAAGAAAGAAATGAAAGCTTGTTAATAAAATTCATTATTTATAAATTCACCCAAACTGTGAAAGAAAACTAACTTTTAAATTCACTGTGAAAACTGGCAAGCTTGTTCAACAAGACAAGAGAAGAGTTGATTAATATAGATATCAGAAGATATTAAGATTCTATTATCTTATTATTGAATTCTCTAGCTAATCTGATACTTCTTTTATTTCAGAAGATTCTTCTTGTCAAATTATTCTCTTTTGTCAAGAAATGTCTTGAATCCTAATTTAATACTGTTATTCTAGAAGATAAAGCTTCAGCACATATCTATTTTTATTAACAAGAGCTTTATAATATACACAAGATTAACTGCTTACTTTAGTCTGGCAATTCATCAGATTTAAATATGATTGAGCCTGTCTGAATATGGCTCAAGCAATGTATAACTACTAAAGATACTCTATAAGAATCTAAGACTGCTGAACATGAATAAAAGAAAGTCTGGAAAGAGCTATTACAAGCAAAGATTTAACAGTAGATTGAGTGGATTCCACATTATATTCAAGAGATTATATGCTTGAAAGAGGGTAATGAGTATAGAGAGAGTGGCTATAAGATATCTTGTGTATGAAAGAGTTAATGACTTAAGAGAAAGCTCTCTTAATAACAGAATCTTGAAATGGATTCTTGAGCAGCTGGTCTAGAGACTTTGAAAGCTGCTGAAGCTCTAGCTGCTCTATATAATTTGGGTAGAGAGAATCCTTGGGAGGATTTGGAACAGGATTCAGATGAGAGTAACTAGTCAATTTCAGGGGTACTTTGAGTTTCCTAGCAAATTTGGTGGGGTAGTAGGTATTTGTAAAACAGTATTGTCTGTATAAGCTTTCCGGGAACTTTTGTTCCACACCTCTGTATAGATTTTAAAATATATAGATCTTTTGCAATATTATTAGTAAAAATATCTCAAGGTACTAAATTGAAGACTTGAATTCAAGTAGCAAGAGAATAGAAGAAGTTATTTTCAAGCATAATAATAGATTCAATTTATAGGATATGTAGGATTCATTAGATTTGATAGATCTGAATGTTCAAATCCTGAGATGAGATGAAATGGCAGAGTAGTCTATTTGTTTTAATATTCACTAATTTGGTAAGAGATTTCTGTTCAACTACGCCACGCTTTACTTGTTTTTATAAAGACTTTTGTTCCACACCTTTATATTGAGTACATCTGCTGGTCAGAAACAAAATTTGGCAAACTGAACCCCACTAACATGCCAAATTATAGCTAAGCGAGAAAGGAATATCTGGTGACAGGCATCTCCTTTTCCCAATTTTTCAGTTGGCTATTGAAATTTCCACATGCTTAGAAGTTGAATCAACTATCCAGTGTTGCTTGGTGTCACAGCTTCCAAGATGCTTGTTGGTTTGTGTGGAGGTCATTGTCAACTTTCTCTATCTAAAGTAGTCTTGAAATCAGTTGAACTGACATATCCAGAATGTATTTAGGCATTTGTGCAGGGAAGCGCTCTGTGGCAAAATATCTTGTCCAAAAGCACAATTTCAGGATTCTTCAGTTAGCAACAGAGGCTTGCCAGCCTGCTCATTTTGATGCAGTAGATCAGCTACACCTTCAAAGTGGTGCCATGGCTGACACACCTGCTCAAGTGTTCCAATCGGCTGATGATTTAGTCCTTTTCATCACAGCCCGATGGCAGGAACACTGGGTAATCACAGATTTATCAAATGAGTCCCTTCTTGAAAAACTCCTTTTGCGACCCTTTTTCTTACTTGTCAGCATTGATGCTCCCATTACACTTCGTTGGCGCCGCTTTACAGATAGGTTTTGCTCCTACAACCCCACCATTTAATAACATTGAATTAATGGAAATATAGATGTTGGAGAAAGCAATTGGAACCTCCAGAACTTGAGAGGTTTGTGCTGCTGAATGACCAGCACCAGTATCAGCATAAAAATGGGGTGGTTTACGTGGACGCACATGCCCACATCCGATTATTCAACGCGTCATCATCGATACACGACCTGCATGCTGCTTTGGATGCTCTGGATATACTGAACCACCAACGGCTACGGCCAAGTTGGGACGAGTATTTTATGCAGCTAGCCTCTTTGGCGGCGCAAAGGAGCAATTGTATGAAACGGCGCGTTGGTTGTGTCCTTGTGAAGGATAGACGAGTCATGAGCACTGGCTACAATGGCACAGCACGAAATACTAGAAATTGCAATCAAGGAGGGTGTAAGTTGTGTGTTGCTGTGGCATATGTGCAAGCTAAGACTAACATCTGGTAGGCCCTAGGTGTAACCTTGTGCAAGGAACAGCACAAGCATTGTCCACCTGCCTCTGTTTGCACGCAGAAGAGAATGCCCTTTTAGAAGCTGGCCGCGAAAGGATAGGTGAAGGATGTATTCTATACTGCAATACGTGTGTATCTAATCCCGACTCGGACAACGTATTCCAGAATTAGCATACCTAACCTACCCTAACAGGTGTCCTTGCCTCACCTGCAGCGTCAAGATAGCGCAGCTGGGTATATCCGAGGTGGTGTATTCTCAAGCTTACGATATGGACAGAGAGGTTTGTTTGACCCTAAAGCAGCTTTGTGCATGGTGTACACGCCGATTAAATCTGCCATAGACTGCTGCTATTCTAGAAGAAGCTGGAGTAAAGCTTCGGCAATTCTCGCCGGTAAGTTACGCCTGATGAACTGGGAAAAGATTACGGTCATTGATTGCATATGACAGCCTTGCAATGGATTGATTGATATTAGATTCATGTTTAAGCAATCCTGCATCCAAGAATCCCCAGAGTAAAGACCCCTTGACTATCAATTATTGTTTGATATTTAATCAATATTTTGCAAACAACGTGCTTGTGAGCAGCCTGGGCAGGGTCAAATATCACCATCATCACCATCATTATTATTAGTATCATTTATCAACTCTTTTTCACAATACAATTAATTCTTGTTATATTTAATTAAAAAGCTCTTACTTTGATTCTTCTGATCTGAATTTTCAGATAGATTTATCTAGTAATTATTGAAATTTTTGGTTGGAAAAATAGCGCTAGTCTTATGTCTGCCAGCTAAGTTACTCATCTTCAATCTTCATAACTATAAGATTGTTTTTCATCTGCTATTATACTCCGTAGAATAAAGTACAAAGGACTTTGTATAAAATACTACATTTTGAAGCTATCATCTTATATTTTTAACTTTTCTTTGCATGTTGAATCTCGAAACTCGGTTGAATCTTGAAGTTGATGGTGGTGTGCAAAACTTTTGATCCCTGACTGTACTCCATATGGAGTAGCTTATCCGGACATCACACCAACACATTTGTCATTTTTATAGCTCCGATTTCACCCCATTGAGGGAAGTACAAAAAGGAAAAGATGGTCTCTAATTCCATCAACACGAAGCGCTTTTTGCGATCCCAGGACGGAGCCCTAAAATCGAAAAGCGAGTTGTCCATTTACTTTCCCAGGTATGAGCAGATATTGAGCTTGACGCCTGCTAAGGTTGGTGAGTTTTAGTCAATAAGTTCTTCCCATCTTTCACAAAAGTCGAACTGTCAAAATTTATCCATTACGCATACATGTAGTTGGTTGAAATGACTGATTTTCCAGAATACCTTTCTACCGAATCCAAAGTCAAACTCATTGACGACGTAACTCCATCCGAAATTGTGACACACCTTTCCTCCAAACTAGGATCATTGCACGAACAGGAAAGACTACTGTACAGAAACCCTATTCTCCCTGGAAGAAGGAACACGCCGTTTATCGACTTGCGCCAAGCCAAGCTCATCGAGGATCCCACGTTATCCCCCACTGCGAGTACCCAAGCAAGGGACCCTCTACTTAATGGAACATATTTCAAAGCTCACAGAAGGATCGAACGAAAAGAGACGCAACTCCGTAACATTGAAAAGGAGAGAGCTCAACATGAAAAGATACAAGTAGACCGTCTACTAAGCGCGTTACGTGGGGCAGACTGGCTTCGAGTAATGGGTGTTAGTGGTATTGCTGAGTCGGAGAAACACCTTTACGAGCCGAAACGAACCTACTTTATTATGGAGTTGGCGGCATTGCTGGACAAATTTAAAATTTGGAAACAGAAGGAAAAGAGACGGAAGCTAAAACAGCAGCTTCTTTCGACAAAGGAAAACGATGATGGGCATCCCGCAGACAACGTTCAAACAGCTAATCCAGATCAATATTGTCATAAAGTGAACGAATCCTCGAGAAATGAGGGAAACGACCCGTCAGGGACCGAAGATATCGACGCCTGGGCTGCGCATCAGCTTCATCAGGAAGCAATGTCAGCGTTACCCATCGATCACGTGAAGCCTGATTTCAAGCTGAGCCGGCCAGACAATGAGATTTCGTTGGCGAGATCTCAAAATGCAACGAGTCTCACCTCAACCCTGTTACTAAACGGGAAGCCGATTACGTTCGTTAACGACCACCATCCTGTAAGGTTTGTCTCTCCTAGTCGCCCGAGGCCCGCGTCGAGTAATGCATTCGGTCAGCCCATACCGGGGATATCGCGGAAAGTATTTCATCTGCCAAGATGTATTTTGACGGAAGAAGCTATCAGGGATTGCCTAAGGAGAAAGAGGAGGAGACGAAGGCGGGAGAGGCTGAGAGCGACTTAACACGCAAAAGCGAAATTGTAGATTTACCCCGTGCTCCACAGTTAAACTGCTACAGCAGTTGAACCCTGATGACTAAGAGTCCTCCCAAGCTAAACCTAATTGGGCCTTTCATGTCTAACTACGGAGTACCTAGCCTACATAAACGCACATTGAAACGGAGATTGTTCTCGACCAGGCTTCGTTCTGTGACTTGACGCATGGGTATTGTCACCTCACCGTTGCGACACAAATGACCCTGGGAAATGGAACCAAAATTCACTAAAAGCAAAAGCTCAAGCCCTAAGAGCCCTACTTCACCATTGCCGCGCGAGGATTTCACTGAAGCTGTTGTTGATGGTAAACTTCGGCTCAGATTTTGTATTCGATAGACTGGTTCAGGGTGACTGACTTTATTTTCTAGATCCACCAAAGTTTGATCTAGAATCATACCTTTCAAATTATGAAGGTATGTACCACTCTACCCATGATCAGGCTCTAAATGCGGGCCTTGGGGAGTGTACGTGGTAAATATGCGTGCATACATTTGTTAACTCACATTCTTACATCCATTAGGAAGGACGAGATTTACCCGCCTTTACTTTATCGGCACACGCTCCAGTTATTTAGCTACCGAAGCGTTAAAACTAGCCTTAGTGGAAGCTCGGAGTGGAAAGGATGTAAAGAACTATCAAAAGGCGTTGGAAGCCCTGGTCAAAGTAGCGCCTTCGGAAACCGACACTACCCTTGATAAAATCTGGGTTGAACAAACACTAAAAAGCGTGAAGGCCGATACAGACAGACTAGAGCATGAGTTGAAGGGGTATAAAAACAATCTTATCAAGGAAAGCATCCGAGTAAGTCAAGTTTGGGCATTTTCTGGTTAAGGTCGTGACGCTAATGAGTTTTATTCAGATGGGCAACGAAGATCTGGGGTATCATTATCACCAAATTGGTGACCTGAGTGCGGCATCTAAGGCTTACTCACGAATGCGAGATTACTGCACAACTACATCCCATGTTGCCTCGATGCTATTTAAGAATATCAATGTTGCAGTTGACCGCGGCGACTGGCTTGCGGTTCAGTCAAATGTCTATCGTCTTCGAAACCTTCAATTTAAACCAGAAGATGAAACTAAGAACAAAGCAAAGATGTGGGCATCCCTTGGTTTATCGCAGTTAGCGACCGGAGCTTATTTTGATGCCGCCATGAGTTTTGTGTCCACTGATCCCAACCTGGGCGATAATTATAAAGAGATAATATCTGCAAATGATATTGCTGTCTACGGTGGGCTCTGCGCAATGGCATCGATGGATCGATCTGATCTTGTCAGCTACGTGTTGGAAAATAAGTCATTCCGAAATTTCCTTGAATTGGAACCACATATTCGACGAGCAGTTTCCTACTTCTGTTCCTCGAAATTTCGGCCCTGTTTAGAGATCCTTGAGAGCTATCGCAGCGATTATCTCCTTGATATTTATCTACACAATCATGTACACGATCTCTACAGCCAGATCCGCACTAAGGCGATACTGCAATATATCGTGCCTTATAACCGAATCGCCCTAAGATCCATGGCAAATGTGTTCTCTCCAAAAGATATCATGACCAGGACCCAGAGAGTGACAGAAATTTGTTCCACATTTTTGTTGGAACTCCTCACTCTCATTCAGGAAGGCATCCTTGATGCCCAAGTGGATTTGGAAAGAGACGTCTTGATAAGTAGACAGAAAACTATTCGATATGGAAATCATCAGGCAGCTCTTGATAGTCTATGTGACTACATGGACACTGCACATTTACATTTAGTTCACTTAAACATATTGCATGCTGGTTTGGATGTTCCAGACATTCAACAATGTACTTCTGATTCTCATTTTTTTAACAGCAGGTAGCTCTAATGCAAAAGATGTGAGACTTCTTAGCATTGTAAATTCATAATTTTTCATCATTTTAAATGAAGTAGTTGGCAATTCATACAAACTTCTCTATTATACAATATTTGGCCAGAATTATACTATGTTCTGTTATTTAATTAATGTTTCTGACTACTTTACAACTTTTACCTACAGCTTCAAAAAATTAAAATTAATCTTCCTTACAAAGTCAGCAATACCTTAAAAATAAAATAAGATATTTAAATTAAATATTAACTAGCAGTTAGATAAGGAGATTTAAAGTAGGTGATTACTTAGATTACTATCTGATTACTGCCAAGCCATCAAATAATCTGTTTACCTCAGAAAGAGTGAGAGGTAGATTATATAATCACTCTCAAAGCTAATATAATTCACCTTCAAGTGGCTCACACCACCAAGCAGCTCTTGAAAATCAAAATATCTTCAATTTCCTAATTAGCCCACTTTAAAATGTAAAAATGCTACTAATTTGTAGTAAAAATGCAAGAAGCTCTATAGAGATAGAGAGAAAACTTGAACTTACAATATCTGCTACTAAAAACCAAGAAATTTACTTAATTTATAAAGCTACTGTTACAAACATAGACCTAGACCAACCAAGCATCAGATGATGTCAGATGTTCAGAGGTATTCATGTGACCCCAATGCTGAACATATAAGAATCACATGATTTGCATGAATTGTGGGAACCCCAGTGTTCAGTCTCTGAGTGAGGGGACCTCTATGTTTTATGCATGACTCTCTCCCATCAGTTGCAGACATTGTATCTACTTAGCTCTTTTGTATCTCTAATCCTGGGAAAACCTATGTGACCTACAACTAGTTCCCCTAACATTCTGAATGCTCCAACATATGATTGCCTAAGTCAGTATAATGTTATCAAGACCCATGAGATGAACCACAACAACACCCCATGTTGTGGACCTGACAGAGGTAGACACCAATGTGGAGAAGATGAATATTGATGAAGATGCTGGTAGCAGTGGAGCCACCACCAGTAAGACACCAGCAGATAATATGGGCAATGGAGGTACACCCCTCAATACATTGGATGAAACCTGAAGGGAGGAGATCTTTGAAGAAAAGAAGACATATCTGTAAAAGAATCTAGCAAACATATATGAACAAAATAAGATATGCAGGCTGCAGAAGCAGATAGAATATGAACAGAGAATAGTGAATGATGATTTCTCTTTAGAGTTTCTCTTACACACAAGACTGATAGAGGAGTCAGATGATTTTGATGATGTGAAGCCACCAAAAGCATCTTACTATCATGGCAAATCACTTGGTGAGTGCAAATTGTGATTAGCTTTAATGAGACAGCAGTTTTGCCTGAGAAAATCATTATGAAAGACACCAGATGTGGTCAGGATTGATTGGGTGTCCAGCTATTTTCATGACAAACTCCAGATGCATTAGCAGATGTTGGAAATAGAGAGAGAACAACTACCCACATCATGGAACAAATTCAAGATGTGGTGTAAGAACAATATTGAATCCAAGATAACTTGTAGTTAAGGCACAATGCAGTATTATCATAATGCTGTCCAATGAGAGAATCAACTCATACTCTTGTTTTTCATGTACATTGCTGAACTTAAACAGAACCTGGACAGTTTACCAGATAAATTCTTTTGTGTACCCTTTCTATAGATGAAGCTCAGACCAATTATCTGGGCTGAACTGGATAAACTGCAACACTAACCAAAAATGGTTGTGGAATTATGAGAACAAGTGATGCTTATTGAGTCCATTCTAGGAAAGAAGAAGCAAAGTCAGTGGGACAAGGACCAAAATAAGAAGAAATGGAAAATCTCAATCTCTCAAGGGAAAGATGTGTCTCAACAAGACAATGAAGGAGGCTATCTATGAACAAAGAAGACACCAGTGAAATCACTTCCAAAAATGTTGGAAGAGGAACATAAACAACAAATGGATGAAGAACTCTGTCTAAGATGTGGCCAACCAGGCCATAAGGCAAAGTTCTGTACAAACAGCTCCAACAAGTTCCAGCAGACAGACAAAAAGAATGAGGATTGGATGAAGGCTAGGGCTGCAAAGCCCATGCAAGATCCAGGTCAAACATTAGAAAGACAGGGTGTTAACCTAATAGAGAAGATAAGCAGATGCAGTATGTGCCTGTTGGCCACACTGACTACACTGTCAGGTGGTCTTATAGAGCAAGCTGCACTGTTGGACTCAGGTACCACAGTGGACAGTATCTCCTATGAACTGGTGTCCCAATTGAACTGGGATCAACCAGAGATGCCTATGGGAGTTATTAAGATGTTGAATGGAGCTGAGGCTGATTGATACAGTATCTACAAGGCTCAACTCACTATGACAGACTTCATGGGGACCACAAAGGTGGAAAAATGTATGTTTGTGGTGATTGACATGGTTGACATGAATATAGTCCTAGGCATGCTGTGGTTAGAAGATTTCAACCTGAACATAGACTGGAAGGACAAGATGTGGTGTTACCAATTCTCAGAGAAAACAGTGGAACTTCTGAATGCAGGTAGATTTCTCTGAGTGGTGCACATCAAGAACAAACTCTCTTATGTTATTTTTGTGTCAGATGACAACCAAGTCCTGACAGAAGTGTCTGAGTGGTTGAGGGACTATAAAGACATTTTCTCAGAAGAAAAAGCAGCAGAGTTGCTGGAATTAACAAAGATCAGTTATCTGATTGTTCTTAAAAACAGCCACAAGCCCTCATACATGCCAATCTATGGACTATCACCCAAGCAGACAGAGGTCCTACAAGAGTACATCAAGAACAAGTTATGCAAGAGTTGGATACATTTGTCATGAAGTCTGGCAGGGGCTCCAGTGTTGTTTGCACCCAAAGCTGATGGAGAACTCAGGCTCTGTGTTGATTATTGTGGTCTTAATGCAATCATGGTGAAGGACTGTTACCTCTTGCTGTTGATAGATGAGATGTTAAGCTGGTTGGCAGGAGCATGCTACTTTTCCAAGATAGATCTATGTGATGCCTACCACTGGATTAGGATCAAAAAAGAAGATGAATGGAAGACCATGTTTTGTACAAAGTTTGGGAGTTTTGAGTATCTTGTCATGTCTTTTGAGTTGTTAAATGCACCAGTGATCTTCCAGTTCTATATCAATAGGGCACTGGCAGGCCTGGTTGATGTATGCTGTGTAGTTTACCTAGATGATATCCTTATTTTCTCAGCCTCAGAGGGAGAGCATGAGAAACATGTTAGACTAGTTATGGAGTGTCTAAGGAAATACCAGTTGTTTGCAAAGCTTGCTAAGTGTGCTTTCAAAAGGTGAACAATCTCATACCTTGGATATATTATTGATAATGAAGGTATTAAGATGGACCCAAAGTGGGTACAGATGATCATGGAGTGGCCCTTGCCATGAAGTTTCCATGATATCCAGGTATTTCTGGGTTTTGTGAACTTCTATTGGAGGTTCATATGAAAGTACTTGGTTATTGTGGTGCTGTTGATAGATCTCTTGAAGGGCAGTGAAAAGAGAAGAAAGAAAGAATCTTTCCTTCTGACACCTGCTGTCAGAAAAGTATTTTGTGAGTTGCAGGCAGTCTTCTCCAGAGAGCCTGTCATCTGGCACTATGATCCAGAATGTAGAATATGTCTGGAGATGGATGCTTTGGAACATGCTGCAGATATGATATTGCTACAGCTGTTTGAAGATGGGTGGCATCTAGTTGCCTACTGGTTATTCAAGTTTGACCAGATCCAATGAGCCTATGGCATGCTGGATAAGAAGATGTTGGTTATTGTCTGAGTGTTTGTTTATTGGTGGCAGTACTTAGAAGGAATGAAGTACCCTGTAGAGATCATTATGGATCATGCAAATCTTTGTTCATTTATGAAGTCCACAAACAAGGTGGCACAATGATGACATGTAAGGTGGATAGAGGTTCTCAGGGTGTATGACTTTGAGATCCTCTACTGCCCTGGGAAGCATAACCCAGCTGATGCATTATCATGAAGACCAGATTATGTCAAACTAGAAGAAGACATTGATCTGCTGACATATACACTCAAACAATATTATGTGGATGGTGTTCCAGAGTGGGACCCATTTGAAGGAACTTTCTTTGATGAAGAAGGTATTCAAGTACATGCTGCTTGTGCTGTCCAAAGCAGTGGGATAGAGGTGGTGCAGGGGAGATCTGGTGGCACCAAGATGATTGAGTCAGTCCAGGGAGCACCAGCCAAAGATGCTGGGGAGGCTCAATGAAGGAATTGCAGGAGATCCTGGATTCCCCATGTGCATGTGAATATGGTAACAAAAAACAAAAAGACCTATGATGAACCAACTGTGAGCATGTTGGACCTGCTGCTAGAAGCACAGGGAGATAATCCCTCTGTACAAGCAAGATTCACTAAGGCAGAATCTCAGCAGTCAGAGTGGAAAATAGACAAACAAGATCTTTTGATAAAGAGCAGCAGGATCTACATTTCTAATAATCTGGCTCTAAGGCAGGAACTACTACAAGTTCACTATAATGACCCATTTGCAGGTCACTTTGGTGTGGTGAAGACATTTGTCTTGCTCTGGTGAAAATACAATTGGCAATTGATGAGATAAGATGTTCAGATGTACATACACAAATGCCAAACCTGCCAATGAGGGAAGACTCCAATGCACAAATCATATGGGTTGCTTGCATTATTGCTGACACCCAGTAGTCCCTGATGTTCAATATCCATGAACTTTATAATGGACCTCCCTCTGAGTGGAGAGGAGAGGAACCCATACAATGCAGTCCTGGTTGTTGTGGATTGATTTACAAAGCTTGCATGTTTTCTTGTGTGTAGAAAGAAGATTGATGTGCCAGAGTTGGCAAATCTTCTGTTCAGAAGAGTGTTTAAAGACTTTGGATTTCCAAACAATATTGTTTTGGACCAGGAATCTGTTTTCACAAGTGAATACTGGTCAGAGCTATGTTTTCACATGAAAGTTAGACAAAAACTTAGCATGGCATTCCACCCACAAACAGACAGCCAAA